TTCTTAAGCATTTGTGATATCTACTATCGATTTATTGAAAAGATGCAAAAGATATCAGTGCATTGTGTAGCCACTACAATATGCTTTGAGTTTATTGAATCACGACTCTCTTAAAACAATGTATTATCATTGTTTTAAACGAAGCTCACATTTTTCCCACTATGAATATATTTTTTTTGGTCTAGGTTTTCATAAGATTTTTTTTTTATTTCTGGAGTCATCTTCTGATGAAATAACCTATAATTATTTTATCGCATCATATATCTTAGTACTCAGGCGTAGTAACGTTTTTTATAGTTTTTGATATTTATAGACGACAATATTTTTCTATCAAGTTGGCCATTAGTTTCTTTGTTATTCTAATGTAATTTTTATACATTTATGTATATTGAATAAATAATTATAATGATTCTACGCAAAAAAGAAAGTTCTTGTGTAGTACTGCTAATAGAAATAGAATTCCAGACCTAATTATTACAACAAAATTCGAAGAATTATTACGAACTAAATATTAAATTTAATTGCAACAAAATTTGAAACATAAGCCTATAGTCATTCAAGAATTCTCTTTTGTTTAAAATTTTACTTATTCGTATTTATTACATCTTTGAAACATTATGATAACGTATGGAGGGTATCACGGGCGATGCAGTACTATTCTTGCCTATAAGTAACGGCAAACAATTTCTATCACGTGGGTCATCAGATTGATTTCCATTCTAACTTTAAAAAAAAAAGTTAAGTGTAAGACATATATTTTTTTTTAAATATGACAAGATTGTGTTCTGCTTCACCCTCTTTTTCTCTCTCGATAGTGCCTCATATATGTTCTACACAAATAAACAAATAATTTATTACACGAAGCTTCTTTTAGAATTCTAAGGACCTTGTTCCAGACACCAACATGTGTTCATACATATATATATATATATATATATATATATATATATATATATATATATATATATATATATATATATATATATATATATATATTAGTAATTATATGTTTTGTCTTTTTCATTATCATCATCATTTCAGCTGTTAACTGTCCACTGCTAAATATAATGCTAAATATAAGCCTTCTCTACACAGCGCCATAAGGAACGATATTAAGCAATCTGCATGCATAACTCCTTCTTGTAAAGGTAGCAAAACACTGTAATAATTAAAATAGTTTTAGAGAATATTTTATTTTTTATAAAGAAGAGGTTAAAACTATGTAAGTAGTAATAGCGTGGATTCTAACACGTGCTATAAACATAAGTGTTTATTATACTGTGTGTGTGTGACTTAAGAGTCTCGACGCCGCTGCTAGTGTACAAACATCAGTGACCAGAATATGACAAAATGTTACTAAAAATTTCGCCGAGTGTCGATGTTTCCAGCCGATCCATGAGTTAAGCCGAGTTGAGCGGACGAGAATGCGGGATCACGAATCCAATTCAGATAGGTGCCGCAGAGCAGTATACAGATCGAGATAGCGCCGGTTCGTAACATTCCACAATGTGTATGCGAGGTTTTTTAGCAGAAATGTTGCACCTACATCCAATATGTATTCAATAATTTCAATATCCATACTGTAACGATAAAATAAAATGTCGCCGTAAAAGAGTAATTTACAATTTTATACTTACTGTGATAAATTAATGGCGAATAAGCACTTAGCCCATCTGATAGTGTTTTGCTATCAGTTTTAGACATCAACAATGCCATAGAATTATATAATATTACAGTGGTACTTTCACAAGATTCCAAATGAACATTATGACCGTGCGATCATAATTTTTTAAGACCTGGATGTTCTGAGAGGTGATTAAATGAACATTCCAATTCATTAGTAAAAGGATATTCAAAATAAAATCCAAATCCTAAGGTACTTGGTCAACGTGGTTATACTAGGCTAATAATCTCCTCAAATGGGCATGGGTCTTTATCTATGCCTAGTAATGGAATACTAATCGGTTGGTATGATAATAATATGCTTCATTTCCCAGGACAAAATGTCATCTTCTTGACTCTTAAAATAGAGATTGCATTGGTTCTTTCTTATTATATAGATCAGAATGTTAATCACGCAATGTTGCTTCATAGCAAATAAGTATATGAAAAGTAGTCTATATGTTTTTATTCTATTCAAATGAAGGCCCTATTTTTTAATAAGAAAAAGGAGTTGCAACTTGCTAATCCTAATATCTCAAGAATACAAATTTCAATTAAGACAAAACCCACTGGGCCGAGTTACCGAGGCTTGTTTTCACAATAATCAGCCGGAATTCTAATAAACTCCTAAAAAGACTGGTCACGTAGAAAAGATTTGAGAGAAGAGTGGCTTAATGAAATAAATTCTGTGCCAATGTGACTTGAAAGTGGCGGAAAATTGAAGCAATTAGCTTATTAAGATGGATTTTGAATAACCTAATGAAAAGTAAAGTATCTTCTAATGTTGACTTAAATTTTATGTCAGTAAAAATTTTTACTTTAATTAAGTAGTATATTAGTATTAGCTTTTCTGTGATAATTTATTTCTTTCAAATAACTTATACGCATCTCTTAAAAGCATTATTATACTAACAGATTTAGTACTTATTATCTTATCCTTACTAATATTATAAAAGTGATGTTTGTTATGGCTTAACACCTTAACGGCTTAATCAATTACTATGAAATTTGATATACATTTTTTTTATGCAATTTAGAATGGCAAACAAGCTGACAGCGCCCACTTGATGAAAAGTGGTAACCATTGCCTATAGACATGAGCACTACCATGGATATAACAGAGTATACTGTTTCGCCCATGATACCCAAATTACTATATGAGATGGAGAAGAACACAGGCTATTTTTTATCCCAAATAGTGAATATACTTTGATCATCTAAAAGAGGTTACAGGTTAAAGTTAATAGTGATAATAAAGACTGAATATTTTTTAACAATTTTTCAGTGAAATTTGAAATACTAATTGACTAAGTTCTGGTTTAACTCATAGAATAATTTTATCTTATATTTATTGTTCTGGACAAATCAATATAATACAACAGTAGATACTTGAATAAGATTTTTTGAAGGCGATACTCATACACGGGCGATGCCAGTCGGGAATTTGAAATATACCAAATGTTAACGTTGTTTAAAATCAAGAAATATTATCATTATAATTTCCTGGTTTTACATTAAGATAACTGACAGTTTCCTTATAATTATGTCAAAAAAATGATCCCAAACTCATCAAACAAAATTGATTTCATCTGCCGGTAACGTTTTTGATTGAAACCATTTATCGATAAATGTTATACCTTAATCAACTACATAATGTTTGTTAACAGGACTTTCTGATGTATAACAGGTCTTTAAATTTACTTAGTCTTTTAAACTTTTTATTAAACTAAACAGCGGATTAAAAATTACCCCTCTCATTAAATTGAGTGTCGCTTCTTTGAAATTATAATCGACTTTTTGCTTTCATGCGAGATCGTGTAGCGACGTTTCACATCTACAGAAACGTGATGTGTTTTTTTACATGAGTTTATAGGTACTATATATGAATTATAAAAAAGTGAAGTCTTTCACATGTAAATGTGTTAAAATTATATATACAGCAAGTACGTCACTACGTTTAGATATTGACTGCTTTTTAAATTTATGAAATAAATGATATCCCCGTATTATCTATTGGTCTACGATGATAGGGCGCTAGTGACGGTTGTTAGGTGAGAATGAATCCAAATAAATCAATCCATTATGACAAATACATCAGAAATTAGTGACAGTAGTTGCCGTTGATGGTAGGATAGTTAGTCACCATTTTTAATAATCCACTCCACCTAGACTATTATGACATTTATTATACGCCTCGAATTGTTATGTGTTCATTTGGGACAGGCCTAAGGCATCAGACTAGTGATTATTCTACACTGTCATATTATTTTCATTGGCATACTGATAGAAATTAAAAATATATTTTAAATTAATTAAATGGAACACGAAGTGGTTAACTGATTACATAAACACTATGTATTATTAAATCATTACCATAATTAGGAATACGCTTTAATTTAATTATTGAATTGGTATTTAAGCAGATATGGACATTCTATAAAGCTATAATTACGTACTATGTCTTTTTTTAATATTAGGTCTTTATATTTTTGTCTTTTGAAAAAAAGTGTACCTATAACTGAAAAAGACTTCAGATATTTTGAGAATATATTATATTGAGGAAATGTCAAATTCCGCTTGCCTGTTATGTAGCTGTTGTATGTTGAGCATTTCATGTTGTAAGATAACGTTTGTGAAACAAAGTAAATTCTTTGCTCTGACATATTTACGTGGATACGAATATGTTAAAAACTTCAAAATTTTGAAATATTCGCAAAGAATTTTACGCACTTTTGATAAACTTCTTAAATACGACGTTTGGACTCAAAGATTTGAAAATAATTCTAACATTTAAATGTTTTTATTAAAGGGAAACTTTGTACCAAAATCATTCTCATGGGTATCCATACGAAAAAAACATGGATGTATTTTATCCGTATTTCTGTCGTGCCACAGCTGTACATGCATGGTTGTGTTCAGTTGGAAATTACAGGGTACGGAGATATAATACCATAGTCCTCAGGAATGGTAACCCATGAGGTATACCATAGATATCACAGTATATTGTAACGTTCATGTATATAGGCGATGGTTACTAGATTATTTCGCCAATAATCTATAGGTTTTACTCTTATGTCGGTTTGATATTTATATTGTGAAGATTGGAAGTGCCATATTTGTTTGCGCAGAAAAATTTTGCTCATTACAAACCAAAATATACTTGAATGCCACTTCTGAGAACTAAAGTATAACGCCTTCAAATCGAGACACAATAATGATGAATGTTTTGCTGTTTTATGAAAGAATATAAAATTCAGTAGCAATGTTCATACTCTGTAGATATAAGAACAAGTATTAGTGAGAATATTTCAAGTAATGAAATATCTGTATTGTTACAGAGCGACTCAACGTACTCTACGAGCGTAATTGGACTCGCTTAGTACATGAACAACTCCGAAAATTCGAGACTTCAATAGTAGCAGCTGCCAGACAGTCCACTGAAGCACAACCTCCCGAACTGGCTTTGAACTCCAAATGGACTTTTTCAGGATCTATAATATATTGCATCACATTGATTACAACAATAGGTGAGTTAAATCTCCGTAAATGATTATCCGAAAGGCTAAGGACTTTACTGTACATGAATCAAAGTATTTTACTTCAGCGAGATATCTCCTGATGTAAACATATTAGTTGCCCTTAATGCAAGAAGTCTATTACATTCAGCGAATTATGCATAGTAAATTTAATATAAATGATATGTGAGAAGATGGGATTTTTTTTTGTAAATTATTGTAGTTTAATTAAAGATAAAAATAGATAAAATGACAACTTGAAATAGGTAGATTGCTGAAAATCTAATGCAGGAACCTGCGCTCTTAAATCCATTTTAAACTCAATTTTATCCTTGGCTTTTATATGTACTCGCAGACAGCTAGCTAAGTTATAATCTCGGTTTAACAAAACTAGATAGAACAACTATATCAAATATGTTACGGACAATTTTGTAATAGATGTAGAAAGAAGTTAAAAAGATCAGACATTTTAAACTGTTTACTTACTGAAATTGAAATAGTAGGTACAAAGAGACTTATAGGGTTGCTTGTTAGTGGAGAAAAATATTACAAATTTCCCAACTATTATATTTGGATTTTTATAAATTAAATTTGAACTTTACCATCAGTTGCGTAGATTTTCTTTTCTGGAAAATATATTCTTAGCACATCTGCTTTATTTACAGGATACGGCAACGTATCTCCAAGGACTGCGGCTGGCAGAGCAGCGACAGTGGCATATGCAGCAGCTGGTGTCCCTTTGACACTGGCATGTCTAGCTGGATTGGGAGCATCACTGGCCAAGCTCGCGAGATTAGCGTGGCTGAGAGCAACGAAGAAAAAAATTCCTAGCACTTGGAGAAAGGATGGAGAGGTAAGATTGAATTTTATTATACAATGTCAAAGCTAAATAATATTTATTAATGCATTTTTCACTTTGACTAATAAGTAATAATTTTACATTATCGCTCATTTTGAAAAACACAAAGTTAAGAAAGACATAAAAAAACTCGACTCGACGAAATATAAATATATATAAATGAGTATACTTTTATTTTCATAATACAACTTTTGAGAAAAAGAACATAATAATAAATATAACAGATACATTTGTAGTTATAAGTACAATAGGGTATTCGTATTGCTAAAAGCCTTATATCTCTTTAGAGTAAAATCGTATAGAAGTAAATCTAACGTAAACTACCTATATTATAACTATGTAGAACATCATCTTATTGAATACGGCTCTCTCTCTCTATTAGAAAGGGCTTGGTATAAAGTTTTATAATGAGGTTTACTCATCATGCATTGATGAATTTTGTTCTCCTGAAATGGGATTATAAACGCCATTATCGATATCTATGGGTTGAATAGAATTACTTATAAACAAAGAGGTACTAAAAAAAGTAAAATAAGAAAAGGTGATTTTAGAGACTTGTCCAATATGATATTTGCCGAATGAAGATTATTAAATTTGATATTTTTAAAGAAGTATTAATGATAGCTTACCGTGTGGTCCCGGCATAGAATAGGCCATCCTATCCCGCGGGTGTTGTAGAAGGCGACTAAATTAGGGCAAGGAATCGGCAGCAGCGTCCCTCTTAAAACATCTCCAAAGCCTAACTGCGGTTGCTAATCCGCCTACCAAATACAGCAACTACTGGCAACCCCCCAAAGGGGAGTTTATATTCAGAAGTGGATAGTTAAAAGTTAATATGATGATTAATGTTAGTTATTTTCACAGTTGGAGAACCACCTTCAGCTTCATGAGCAACAGCGTCTGTTGCCACAACCAGCGGAGCACAATCAGTACACGTCATTCCCCCCTCGGTCCCACCGGTCTCCGGGGACGGTCAGAGCCAGGGCTGGTGAAAGAGGTCAATATTCGCAAGTATTTGAGAAGGCGCCCACGAGTCCTAGAGCAGCGACGCTAGGTCGCATCAAGCGCAGTGCCTTGGCTGATGGTGAGCTTATGTGCCTTACGTTCTGCCATATTCAAATCCTTACTAATATTATAAATATGAAAATGAGCTTGTTTGATACCTATTAACGTTTCAACCGTTCAACCGCCGTTATAAAATTTAGTGTAAATATACTATTTGGGATGGAAAAGTACCTGCATAAGCTATTTTTAATCTCAGTCAATTAAATATCCCGATCACGCGAACAAAGTTGCTGATACAAATTAGTATATAAATAAATATGCTCACGATTATTTCAATCAAGATGTAGTAGACAGAAACACATATGATTCACATTGTATTTGTACAAAACAAGTAAAACTTCGCAAGTTTTTGTTAGTTTGACGCTGCCATACGTCCATTTATAGCAAATATTACGTATTTTCTTGTATGAGTATATTATTTATTACGCAATACATATAATTGTATTACTTAATAAGGTATCTCATACATTAACTATAAATCACTATATGGAAGAAGAGGAGTTATTCATACATCGTTATTTCTCCTTAGCACATAATTATTAAGAGCCTTAATTAGAACACATGATATAATTATTAATATTAAGTTACTTATATAATTATGAAATAAGATCTTTACATCGCAAGGTAAATTCCTTCAAATGATTAATTCTACATAGTAACATGTATTATATGGTATCTTTAACATTATTTTATATACAAAAACATTTTTATATAGAAAAATGAAAATATATATGGATATATAACGATATAACTAAATAAAACTCTTTATTACATAGTTGAAATTACTGTATGGATAACATTAAATTATATACAGAGATTTTTTATACAAAGTAAACACGGAAGATTTTTTATATTTCTTAAAATAAAAATAAATAACAAGATCGCGCGGGTGAAGCTATAAAAATTAACAAATTTTTGTATATAGTAAAATAGTATAATATTTTTTAAATGCACATTCAAGTTTCAAATATCAATGTTCGCTTATTTGCTATGCTTATGAAGTTAGAAATTTGTAATAGTAGTGTTATATTAATGATTAAATAAGATTCCCCGTTACAGAGCCGCACACGTCATCAGCATTACAAACTCAGACGTTAGATCGCAAGAAAACTATAAGCAACATGAAGTGCCTGGCCACAGTTCATGGCTCAGGTAGAGGACGAGGACGAGGGACAATTCAAAGACCAAGAGGGCCTATTATAGAGCAACTAATCGCTGAGGAGTGCGGTGAGCTACCTATGAACAGGAGTCAAGAAGATCTGGATGACTCGGAAGATCCTGATGAAGCGTAAGTATCAGAAGGAGACTGTACGAAAGTCATCAGCATGAATACCTCTCTATTACTCGTGTTTTTACCATGAAGTAGCTGTACTTGCATGACTGTATTTCTGTTTGAAGGGTGGGGAATATTAGTAAAATTACCGGGTACTATACGAAGGAACAACATCATAGTATCTACGAATGGTAACGCACACGAGGATACCATGAGCATAACTATGTATTTTCTAATGTCCGTGGTGCCATTCTGATCTGTTAGTGACGGTTACCATTTTCTATTAAATGGGCCTTCAGCTTATTTGCCATGTATGCAGATTATTTTGACGTCCTCTGTGGCGTATTTGAAGAAAAAGTAAACAGTTTTAAATTAACTCGTATTTACTCTTTTTATTTTTATGAAAGATAATTTAAACTTTTACACAAAAATTCGAGCTTTTATAAATCACTAGAAAATAAATCAGTTATATTAATTATATTAGAGCCATTTACTCAGTCTAGATAATATACTATCATAAACATGACAAATAAATTGGCCTTCATTATTACGTTTATATAATTGACCGCTACAAAGGAAAATCCAATAATCCAGATTACAATACTATCATTAATCTAGATATAAAATTTATATAGGTACAAATGAAGCAAGCTAACAAAACATAATGCATTAAATGCAATTTCAAATATGACGGTACGTGTGATAATGAAATAACAAGATAATTGTTTAAAAATAACCCATTATTAAAGGCAATTAAATGGAGACTTTGTACAAATGTCCTTCTAAATGGGTACATCTGTCTTACACGTGTTCATGCCGTAAAGTAGCTATGCTTGCATTTTATATTACGTTTTAATGGATGACATATGGCAGTACATTTATAGATTACGGAGGTAGAACTTTGTCCTCATCAATAACAAAGCTAGTTGGGGAAAGGGGGTGTACCATGTGCGACATAGTATACTAGTAATGTCCATGGTGCATTTTATGTGTATAGACAACGGCTACCTTTATCTGTAAAGACCATCAGCTTGCTCGCCATTTGCAGTTGAATAAAAAATAACATACAATTTTAATGATTGTACTTTTTTTTTTTTAAATTGAAATAATTTTATAATTTTAACATAAAATATAACACAAATTTAAACTGGCTGACTCACCTAACTGCTCTTGTGATGAAGTAACTCCACAGACAATCTACCATCTTGTTATCGACTGCCCGCGTTTTGCCAGTAAGCGAATTGATTGTGAAAGCGCAATAGATATTAAAATGAATATTAATAACTTAGAGTATATAATATTATAAACGATAATGACAAAAGATTTACATTTTTAAATTTTACAAAGTATATATTAACAAAAATTGGCAAGGAAAACGGAACTAAACATCTAAACTAGTGACGAACATAAGTTGTTAAATATACATAGTTTTTTTTGTTATATAATGACATATATATTTATATATATTATAAACAATATTTATATTAAACTCGGAAAAAAAAAACTCAGTAAATGTACAAGATAATCAATCTAACAAAGATATGAATGTTGTCGCATTAAAATATAACGACAGAAACAATAGATAAAATTAATATAAAAAAAACATATAAAGTATAAAGCTTTATCTTTCTAATTAATCTTTTATTATATGTCAGTAATTAACCAATTTCAAAAAGAAGGAGATTCTGAAATCGATTCTATTTTTATTATGTTTGCTCACAACTCCGTCAGTTGTAAATGGATTTGCAATATAATTTTTTATAATATACTTAGAAATTTGTTCTATAGAAATTTTATCAAAATCCGTTTATTAGTTTTTAAATAAAAATAACTTATGCTATAATTGAAGTCGGTTTTTGTTTTGTAAAACAAAATCTTAGTTATATATTATTATATCCGTTATTAAATGTATTTATATTAAAATACATCGGGTATAGTTTTCTAACGATAACCGTAATGATCATATTAAATATAAAAAAATATTATGTTTGATATACGAGTAATACATGTATAAAAAATAACAATAAATTTAATATGTATTTGTATTTATAAATTACTTATTTTATTTTTATTTTGAATATTCTTCTGTTACCCACATAGTCCACTAAGTCACGTACGAGTATTACAAAAGATCCATTTTGAAGATGTATCATGTAGACAATAGTCATAATACCTATTTCGTTACATGACAAAAATAACGCATTGTATTTTATTGTAAATTGAATAAGTGCTTTTAAGATGATCCGCTTTTAGGGAAAAACGGAGCGTCTCAAACACTCCTTTTTTCCTTAACATATTGTGTATGCTACAGGCAAAGGCTAAAAAAATATAAAACCCCAAGGAAATGTCTTATTCCTTAAAAGATGTAATTTTTATTCCCGAGAGTTACATTTCTTAATATTTACATTTGTCATGTTTCTTCTACAGAATATGTCCACACGACACGCCGTCACGAGTGCCTTTGATTTGGAATGAAGATAATCATAAAAATAAAAGTTGTGCTGTACCCACCAGCAGTGCTTCCACTAGCGTCCAGCATCACATGAACCACAGCGCCGAACATTGTCACATACCAGTTGGGATTGTGTTATTTCTGCTCCTAGGATACATCTGTGTCGGAGCAGCTATCTTTTCCGCTTGGGAGAACTGGAGTTTCTTAGACGCTGCCTATTTCTGTTTTATAGCGTTAGCTACTATAGGTTTTGGAGATTTTGTGCCTACCAGCTTCTTAACCTCAAAGCCAAGTACAGAAACCTCAAAAAGTGAATACATTCAAATGATTGCGTGCTGTGCTTATTTGGTTTTTGGACTAATTTTAATAGCTATGTCATTTAGTCTACTTCAAGATGAGGTTGTTGCTCGGTGTTCACAGTTAGCCAATAGTTTGGGATTATCACGACAATGACAATACGAGAAGAGCGATTGTAGCTCCACAGATAATCATCTGAGGATGTTATGATCGTTATTGTAAAGAAGTTTCGTTAGGGTCCAAGTAATTATTTTCTTATTGGATCCATCGCCTGTAATTTTCACTATTGGAATTGTATTTCGTGTTACCATTGTATCATACGAAATTATTTTCTCATATCAACTAAATTAATTTTGATGGAGGAAAGTTTGAAATTTTTACGGAATTTGTACTCAAAATTGTAATGAAGTTTGTGATGTAAATAATGTATAAAATCTATTTATAAAAGCAAGGCTGAAATTGTAATAAAACAATAAAATTGTGTTGAAACTTTGTACATTTATTTTGTTGACCCAATTTTTTTTTCATACATCTTTAATTATCTATATTGACTTTAGTCTTTCTTGAGAGAAAAACGTAAATAAAACCACAACAAATGCCAAATTAATTCTATAAATGTCACATTACTGAGCTTTATAGGATTAATTTGAAGAACATGATTAAATTAACCAATAAATGGAATAGAAATTAATCAGCTCATTAATAAAACCCCAACATGCCTGTGATCAAAATAATTATGTACATTACATGGGTTAACTGGTTAATTACACACACACGTAGCCTGATTTCTATAAAATCCCCAGTTGGATTACGGGGGTGGACAGGGGCGAGTTGCGTTGAATTACGACATTGGCCGTAACATGTTTGGGTGAATTATTCGTTTGGGCCCGTCCCATGTATCGGAACCGATGTTCTCAAAAAAAGGGTATAGCCCGACAAGGCATTACGCCTATCAATATATTGTTGTTGTATTGAATATCCTTGTAATTCGTAAAATATTGTGTAACTATTTTTGTTATTTAAGCATATATGTTCAGATATTAAATATTAAGTGTGTACGTGCGTGTGTGTATTCGTGTTTGTAGTCTTAACAAAACCTTCTCTAATTGAAATTTTAAAATATATAGCTTACAGGACGGAATTTGTTTATAAGATATTATTGAACAAAAATTTCAATGCTAATTAAGCTCTAAACATTATATAATTTTAGATCCATATTTCTTTAAGAAAATTCAGTTTAACATGTAGATACGACATGGCCTCAAAAGGATGCTAATTATTTCGATTTGACTTTGAATATCGTAATCAGAAATATACATATAAAAGTATAAAAATGAACTATATTCTACAGGATTAGGGATTATATTTCAGTGTTGGCTGCATGTACTCACAGAATATAATTTCTGCAGACCAGAATTCCAGTAACAAGAATATTTATCTGCTCTTGCTGAAAATTGCATTTTATCTTGTTCAGTGCGTCCCAGTTACATAAATCAAAGAAACGATAAACAAACAACTATTTTTAATAATAATAATAATTTATTTGCCAGAAACATTGTTAACAAACAAATGCAATATAGAAATGCCTCTTAGGAAAAGTTCTATCATAGTTCTTCGCAGCAAACCACTCCATCATCATCCTATTAACTTTCCACTGCACGGAGTCTCTTTTCATAAAAGATGGATACAAAGCTATAATTTTAGGTTAAGCCTCCAAATATTTATTGTCTGATTTCATATCATACAGTGTACCCTATGTTAACAAGCAATTAACTGAAATAATTGACTATGGCTATATCATTATTACTACCATGTTGATCCATTGGGTTGGTAAGGATTTTATTTTGAGATTTCTTTCTTGCCAAAATATTGCATAGAATCGATGTTCTCTAATCAACAATGATAGAAGAATGACTGAAATATTGAACATTATTTATTCAAGAAAATATCTTCATTTCTACTATATGTATTTTTTCTGTGTTTATATTACTCGATATCCTTTCCAATTGGAGCTAATTATACAGAAATATTATAAGAAACTGCTATTTTCTGTATGTCAAACTTTAATCCTGAATTATGAAGATTTGGGAAAATACTTTTCTCAATTAATCGTGATTTTGGCCCGACAGTAATTTGAGCATTAAAATGGACTTATTTGTAGTAAAAATCCTAAATTAAAGAAATTCCCATATTCTACAGAAAATATGTTCAATTGAAATATAATTGAACTAGAGCAAAACAGCAAAATCATCGCGACAAATGAATACGTCGAGTCATGTCACTCCAATCGTTCTAACCAAAACTGTTTTCAAACTAGTTTGCGAATTCCTAAATATTACGGCAGTCGCCCACCTGTTCCCATCGCGACTCGACGACGCAAACTTCATAAAACTTTTGAATGCAACCTTTGGTCGCGAAGTTTCATCACGAAACGCCCGAATAAAGATTGTCATGATTCATGCCCTGACAATGTGGGTAGTTTCTTTAAATTGAACCTGAATTTATGGCGTTGCGCCACAAAGAATACTGTAGAAGAATACATTGAGTATGCATTTTAGCAGTATATGTATAATTCTTACTAACATTATAAATATATATTTGCTTATTATCGCTTGTCGCTTTAACGGTTCGACTAATAATCATGAAGTTTAGTAAACATATATTTGAAATAAAGAACTACTTTTTATCCCAGTCAATGAAAGTATATCTCGATTCTATTTCGATTTTATAGACATAATCAGAGATCCGACTCCATATGGAGTACTTTTCTCACTTGTGGGCGGAAGTTTCCGGATACCAACTTAGTTCTCTTGATGGCGTAGGCAAAGGCGTGCTATGAGAATTATCGACAAACCCTGGTTGACAGGCAGCATTGAGCCCCTTAATTTAAGGAAAGACTTTGCTTCTCTTTGCATCTTCTACCGCCTAAAAGACAGATTGTGTTTTGAAGAACTTTTCAATCTGATATTTACAGCCACCTTTCACCATAGTACTGCTTGCTATCGGCAGGGAATCCATCCTCACACCTTAGAACCAAAAAGGTCACGCACAGTGCGATTTCAAAGGAGTTTTCTCTCACGAACACTCAGATTGTGAAATAATATTTCTATCAGAACTTTCCTTAGGGACTAGAACATGGGGTTCTTCACAAAGGCGTATTAAGGTTTTTTAAGGGTCGACATCAGTCGCGTGACAACGCTGGTGTTACAGACATCCATAGGCTATGGTAACCCCGTTTACCTTCAGATGGGCCTCATAATTATTTGCCATAATAGTAGTATAAAAAAATATGTCTTTATTTCATCACGTAACGTCTACTGTACAGAGCACAGTCATTTTCTGCCTCTTATAAATGACTAGAATAACCTATATTCCAATTCTATGCAAAATGAAATGTCTTACAAATAAAATAAATCCATGTTAATATTATAAATATGAAAGTGTATTTGTTTTTGTGAGCTCTTAGCATTTTGAATAGCTTAACAAGTTACTAAACAAGTACAATAAGGGAAGGCTGATAATACTATATAATAAATAGGCTACTTATAGTTACGCAGACAAAATCAGGCGTAAAAGCTAGTGTTTAATAATTTATGTTATTTAAAGAAAACAACATCACAGACATATTATTGTCGATTTTACAAACAATATATTATTCGTAAAAGCGTTAGTAGATCTACAACTACCTAAATCTACTAAAACTACCTTAAATACTAGCTCTATTCCGCGACTCCGTCCGCATAGATTAGTATATTACATTATACATTCAAATCTCGTAAGTAGTTTTTGCGTGAAAGAATAACAAACATCCACCTATCCTTTCATCGTTACAAACTTTCCCATTTAATATATTTATAATAGGAGATATTTCTAGAATATGATTACATTGACATTTAAAGACACATCTTTAGATGAAAAGGTAATGGAAATATAAAAAAAGCATATTAACGATAAAGGAAACATATTTTATTTCTTTTAGATTTAATATGAAAATAAATGGTCGCAATTCGAGCTACATTTAGAATTTTTGGGATATAAAAAGTAAGTACCTGATAATAAATAATTAGATATTCTTTTAACAGACTTTAAAAAATGAAGTTCTCAAGACGGTTATATATTTTTTATGTCTGTTACCACATAAGTTCGTCAGTTTAAACAGATAAATAAATAAAAAATGTTACAAATCTTTACGAAATTCCACATTAACGTATTTCAAATAAGGAGTCAAAAGTCATTTCCACAATAGCAATGCGTATAATGGTATTGCTCCCTTGAGACAAATACCGCAACTTTGTTTTCAAGATTTACAAACCGCCCATAAAGCAAAAGATGCCTTTTAATTATATATATATATATATATATATATATATATATATATATATATATATATATATATATATATATATATATATATATATATATATATATATATATATATAAAGTAGCAGTGTGGTTCCGGCTAGAATGGGCTACCCCTTCCATTCCCGTGGGCGTCGTAAGAGGCAACTAAGGGAACTTAATGGTCGAGGAATCAGCAGCAGCGTCCCTCTAAAACATCATTAAAGCCTAACTGCGGTTACCAATCCACTTATCAAGCATGGCAACTACTAGTAAACCCCCCTTTCTCCTTCATGAGGGCTTACGTCCAGCAGTGGCCAGTTAACGGCTGATATGATGGCGATATTTTTGGCTACATCTGTAAAGAAGATTATCAACGAAGTCATCTCTCTCTATTTCGCACAATTCAATGTACAAACAGTAAAATGGTATAAAAGACAAAACCACTTCAAACTTACAAAACCGAATATACGATCTAAAGTTATACCTTTATATAAATTTATAAATAATCAGTTAAAAATAGGGATACTCTTAAAATAAATATAACGTAATACAGTATATACTGAAAGAAATGAGACCAAGATTAAGAGTTAACTGCGAAAGAAGAAAAATAGGTCCAAATTTAAAACCAGATCTCAGCAAAAAATAATCTAAATAGCTTTGTTCACGGTGAAATTAATACTGGTTGAGTCGTCCGAGATGGATTGCTCGAACAAAGGTTTCATTTGTCTTCCTCTAAGAGACTCTTAGCAAAAACGTTAAGTGAAACGCCCCTTATAAACACCTGTTGGGTATTTTTTTTTGCGTTTTTTATCTAGGAAGGAATAATTAATCAACATCAGTCGAATGCCCGATACTGGGCACTTCTGCTGGTGAACTGCGAGGATAATTTTATAATTATATTTTTCATTTCGCATTTTATTTTAATTAAAAAATCTGGTATGAAAACAAAGGATTGTTCTAAATATAAACCTCATGCGATATAAAATATTATTTAGACTTTACTTAATTATATTAGTAGGAGAGATTTAATGCCTATAAATTTAGATTCTCTTTAGCTATTTCACAAATGACTTGATACGAAAATAGACACATATTTTTCGCTAGACTACCTTTGAAAATAATATTACAGA